GTCTATCTCAGCCTTGAGTATACTCAATAGCCTAGCTTCAACAGCCCTCTGTGGTAAAGACTTCCACAGATTTACACTACATTTTTTATTTATTCCTGGGATGTGGGCCTCGCTGGCTGGGCCAACATTGATTGCCCATCTCTATTTGTCCTTGAGGAGGAGAGGTGACCTACATTCTTGAACTGCTGTTCTTGGTGTTGTCGGCAATGGAGGGTTTGAATTATAAGGAGAGGCTGGAAAGGCTGGCACTTCTTTTCACTGGCGTGGGGGAGATTGAGAGTCTTTTCCCTAGGGTGGAAGATTTAAAACAAGGGGGCAAGGAGGAGAAAGATTTAAAAAAGACACGAGGGGCAACATTTTTACAAGGAGTGGCTTGTGTGTGAAATGAACTTCCAGAAGAAGTGGTGGATGTGGGTACAGTTACAATGTTTAAAAGATATCTAGATAAGTACATGAATAAGAAATGTTTGGAGGGATATGGGCCAGGTGCAGGCAGGTGGAACTAATTTATTTTGGGATTATTTTCAGTGTGGATTGGTTGGACTGAAGGATCTGTTTCTGTACTGTATGACTCTATGCTGAAGTCCATTAGCTATAGCAAACTCTCAATGAAAATGGTGAGAGAGTTCCAGGAATTTAACCCAGTGATACTGAAGGAACAGCAATATACTAAATTCGGATGATGAATAGCTTGGAGGGGAACATGCAGGTGGTGCTGTTCCCACATAGCTGTTGCACTTGTTCCTCAACATTTTTATCTGTTAAATAACTTGCCCAGTCCACTTCAACTGACTCTGACCTTATCCCAATGTAATTGTCCTTATTAAGTTACAACAGTTGCTCCAAACCAAATTTAACTCCAACTGAATGCTAAATTCTATCATGTTGTGGTTATTGTTTTCTCAGGGATCTTTTACCCTGAGGTCATAGTATTCTCAGAAACTGACCAGAATACATTCTATGATTTCTTCCTCCTGATTACTTTTGTCAATTGATTTTCCCAATCTTCGTGAAGATTAAAGTCACTCAAGCTGCCATTTTTATATAAACCTTCGTTAATGCCTGATTTATTCTCTGTCCTATAAACCAAGTACTGTTAGGCAGCATTTTCTCCCCTTTGTCATTTCTAACCCGCACCTGTATGGATTCTACATCTTCTGACCCAAGACCATTTCTTGCTATTGTACTTACTTCACCTCATGTTAACAAAGCTACCCCACCACCCTTTCCTTCCTTCCTGTCCTTCTGAAAATTCACATACCCATGAGCATTTAGTTCCCAGCTTTGATCTCATTGTATCCATGACCCTGTAATGGACATATGATCATACCCATTAACTTCTATTTGTTTATTTTCTTCTGTATACTATACAGGTCTAAGTAAAGAGCCATTAATGTTGGCTTTTTCCCATTGTTTTCCCCTTTGACCCTATTTACAGATGTTTTTACAGATGCTTATACAATCTGTATCCTCTATCCCACTCCCAGTATCAGTATCTAAACACCCACCCTGCAGTGCTGAAATATTCTTTTTCTTTCTAAGCTTCTCCCAAACCCTTCCCCTTCCTGTATTTACTTTAAACCCTTCTCTATAGCCCTAGTTTATTGACTTGCCAGGATACTGGTCCAAGCCAATATTCCCTGTTGTTTCTCTGATGTCTATCCAAGACAACAGCTTCTGGAGGAGGAAGCCCATTTATCGGCACACCGATTGAAAGGCATAGAACTTTCTCATGGCTACATAGCCCAGAAGAACTGTTGCATCCCAGCACACTCAAGTGAAGCCTATGCCACTAGAAAAGCTCTCTTCTACCTTTCTACTCTTCTACTGGTACTGGCACCCCTTGACCAAAACCCATTCTTCCACACCAATTGTTGAGCCTTTAACTCATTGACTTTATCTGTCCTATGTCAGTTTCCCCATGGCGCAATTAGTTATCCTGAAATTATTATTTGGATATTCTGCCTTTTAGTTTAGCTCCTACCGTTTTAAAATCTTTCAGTAGAACCTCTTTTCTAGTCCTGTATCTGGTGTTGGTATCAAAGTGGACAATGATAACTGGATGCCTGCTCTTCCATTCCAGGTTCCTCCATAGCACCAAGGAGGTGTCTTTAACCCTGGCAACAGGCAGGCAAAGTAGTGTCCAGAACTTGTGTTTAGGGCTACAGGGACCAGAATGTGTAACCGCTAATTATATTGTCCCCCTGCCACTACAATGTTCCAATTTTGTCCCACCACTTAAATTGCTTTGTGTACCATGGTGTTATGACCATTTCATTTATCCTGCCTGCAGTCCCTAGTCTCGTCCATGCAGTTTTCAAGAACCTCAAAACTGCCTGATGATTGCGGGGGCTGAGGCTCATCGAGAACTGTCCCTTCAGCCACCGACCCTGCCTCACCAGTAATCACATCTCCTGTCCTTGATCACACACCAGATTTAAACGACCTAATCTAAGTGGTCTGATCGTCTCCTAGGTCAAAGTGTCCAGGTAATTTTACTGATCGCTGTGCAATGTTTGTAGCCTGGACTCGAGCTCCTCAACTCAGATCCAAAGTTGTTCAAGCTGTAAACACTTGCTACAAATCTGTTCACTGTAGATAATCTTGGTGTCTAGCAGTTCCCACATTCTGCAGCTGTAACAGATCACTCAACCTGCCATCTCTATTGCATTTTATTTAAGTTATTTTTTAAACACTCTGGTATCTTGTTACACCTGAAGTATCCCCACTGTTTACACTTCATATGCATTTTGTTTTAATGACAGTATCAATGTTATACCTAACAAGAGTCTTTTTAAAAAAAGAATAAAAAAACTAGGGACCTGAACACAAACATGAAGACCTTACTATCCTCAAAATACTAGAAAAACCCACCAATCCAATTCATGAATCAGCTGCCTTCTTTATTCAATACCTACCAAATACCTTTCTCCTTCACCTGCTGAACTCCTTATGATGATCAACTACACTAACCACAGAGTCATACAGCACAGAACCAGACCCTTTGGTCCAATCAGTCCATGCCAACCATAATCCCAAACTAGACTAATCCCACCTGCCTGTGCTTGGCCTATATCCCTCCAAACATTTCTTTGTGTAGTCGCACACATGCACCTGGTGTAAAAGGCCTATCTGACTCATTTAGTGAGGATCCCATTTCAAATGGTTCTTAGTTGGGCTGCTTCATCAATGAAACCCTTGAAAATAAACATGCTCAAATCTTGTAACTATAGAACTTAAACTTCAGATTTCACTTTAATGCCAACTCCAAACTGAATTAGACTAAATTAGGTTTGTACAAATTAGGATTTAGACACTACCTTACCCAACAAATGCTTGCAGTCAATCCACACTCAGTTTGCTGTGTGCCTACAGATTTGTTCTCATGATGCCTAGATTCAAACCAGATCTTCCAAAATGTTCTTCATTTCTGAGCAATGTTAACCATGATGAAGGGAAAGCAGATTCTTTGATTGAGTCCTACATCATATTCCTTCACCCACCCCTTATATCTGCCCTGGGATAGAAAATCTGTGCCAGCATCACTTTTTTCTTTTCCGTGAGTCAAATTCTACATCAATTACCTTCTTATGATGTTTTTAAAATCAATTTACAGATGTTAAGGAATTTGGCAAAACATGCAAACAAGATAGCGTAACAGATCACACTGATTAAAGTAATTCAAAATATAGGGTGAAGTAGTTGGCATAATGGCAATATTAGCTGAAAAGATTTTATATTCAAAACTCTTCTTGAATCCTTTCTTTTTGTAATTTGTAGTTTCTTCTATTCATGGAAATGAAGGTCTTCTGTGGTGCTGATTGCTTCCCAGAATCTTTGATATTTATTCTTTGTTCATAAATTAATTGTAACTGCTGAAAGTGATTAGCCTAGTGTCTGCATGCACACACCTTTGACTCACAACATACGTGCCAGTGCATGTGCAATTCCTTCAAACACTGATGTTATTGATGTGCATTTATCAAAAGTAACCAGTTGTGGCCTTCTCCTGCGTGGTAACCTCAGTACATACCTGTAATTTTCCACTGCTCCCTCAAACTCTTCAACTTCAGCTCCTGGGTAACAGTGTCTTTGTCACTACCACTGCCTTGAACTGCCTGCTGCTCAGGAAGCTTCACCATTTTGGGTTTGTTCCTTTCCAGCTGCAGTGGGAGGACACAATGATATTCAGTCAGTTGGAAGTGACCTTGGGCATCCAGCAGCTTTGTCTCAGGACTCTGAGAAGTCTTTTGTTTTTGGGTAAATGAGGGAGAAGCTATTTGGGAGCAAGATGAGGAGAAAGCATTTTTACTCAGAGGGTTGTGATTCTTTGGAAGCTGAGTTATTTAGTGTTGTCTGAGAACATTGGTTTAAATCCCATATGATAGCTGGTGAAATTTAAAATCAATTAGTTAATTAAAACCTTGAATGAAAAGAAACCTTGGAATTGAAAGCATGTTTCAGTCATGGTGACCTTTAATCTGTTACCAATTGTTGGAAAATTCAGTCTGGTTCATTATGATCCTTATGATCTATCATCCCTACATGGTCTGGCCCGCGTTCAACTACATACTCAAAACAATGTGGCTAATTCTTAACTGCTAACAAAGACAATTAAAGGTGACAGCCAATGCTAGACTTAACAACAATGCCAACATTCCATGAAAGAAAAACAAAAGCCCTTGTCACTATTTTCATTTTTTTCAAATCATCTGCAGCCTGAGAGGAAATGATTTATTTAGGCCAGCGTTGACCTCCTTTCTTACGTTCTTATCCCCACCATTAAAGTGTCATTTGTGCTGACTTCTTGACCATGGTATTGTTCCACAGGACCATAGTTGATGGGGTGAAGTAAGAACTAATGGCAATATTAATTATATAGTACCATTTGTATTGGGATGGACAGGTCCTAAAAAAAATTGGTTAGACAGGTAAGGAATTTCTCCAGATACAGAGCTTTCAAACTATTATGATAGTTATACTATTTCTTTTTCTTTCAGATACTTGTGCAACCCTTCACAGTAATGTCAGCAGACCAACTTGCGATCCCTCCACGGCAACTAAGTCCTCCAATTTTCTACTTGTGTTTCTTCTGGGTCAACTGCTACATGGGGTGGGAGGAACCCCTTTGTACACACTGGGAACGGCCCACATTGATGACTCTGTCTCCACTGAGAAAAGTTCCCTTTATATTGGTATGTTTACCTATGGTTTGTCATTTTATGTGAAATTGTGTACAGTTTTATTATCTAAGTTACTAGATTTTTAGAAAACTGTAGTACTTTGAATAGGAGAATAGTTCTGATACTTAACATTAATTTTTAAATGGCAAGGCACAGATGTTATGTCATTAAATTGACAGTTGAAGGATTTGTCTTAGTCTGGTCAGCAAGGGGTAATTATCATCACATTCACAAGTAATATGATGGTGCATTTGTGTTTCTGTTCTGTTTAAAGGAAATTTTTTTCCGTGTTGGAGAGAGATTTTAAAGAGGAGTCTGAGTTCCTTGTTCAGCTGCACAAATCGATCTTTGTTCGGACCTTGTCACCAACGCAGCCTGGGAGAGGTCACTGGAAACAGATTCCGAGACACTCCTCCCCCGTCCTTCAGCCCCCCCAGTAAAGTACTGGATATTTATACATTCCACATTACAATGATTACATGCAGCATTGACATCAGCACCTGCCACCTCCCCTTTGACTGTTATGACCCTCCCAAGACATTTGCCAGCAGCATCATTCTGAGTGGGTGCTGTTCGTTACTTTGTGAAGCTGCGATTGTTTATTTTCCCAATGTCTCAATGACTAATTAATGTTTTTTCATTTGTTCCTTTACATTGCTATCTGTTTTCTGGTGTCCTTTCACGAGGTTATCTGTTTATACCCTTTGTTATACGTTATTCAGTTCTTGGTGTTTCTACCCATCTGTCCTTCAATCCCCCCGGCTGATGGGATGGGGGCTTCTTTCTACATCTACAGTCATTTGTCTAAAGGAATTTAGCTAAATTCCTTGATGTTAGTTTGTTAATTGCACTTATAATTTCAATAAGCCTACTTGTATAATATGTAATGGCAATTACTTAAAAAGCTTTGATTATGGTGAGATCAGACTTTTTCTCTTACACTTTACTAAATAAGAAGTTTTCTCCTTCCCACTAAGATTTCTATGAGACAATTCATTATCTTATCTGGTTGCCATAAGCATGAAGGCTATGATTCTGGCTGCGAAAATTGCTGCCTCAATTAACAAGTCTCTTCACCCATGGGCAACTCCAACAATGCTCCATTTAGGCCCTTGGCCTAGGTGCCAAGCTGGCCTAAGTCCTGCAGTACTGATCTAGGCAACAATGCCTGTTTTCCAAAACTTTGCTGCCTACTTTTTCACTTTGTTTCAACTGCTGATTGTCATGTGAACTAACCTTTAATGATTAACCCTTAATAGTATGCTTTGAAGTTATTATTTTTGAAGTGTGTACATGATGTTCAATAATCGCAAGCTGATTATACGTACTACAAAGTTTAAAATCGGCTCATGCTCAATTGGCGACAGATTACGCACGGACTTAAAAATTCTCCAGCTCTTTCTTCATTTTTACCCATGTTCTGCATATTACTTCAGTATTTTTTATCCTCTTTGTCTCCAATTGTAATTTTTACCTCCTTCTCACCAATACCAAAAGTCAGTTTCTGTATAGATTATGTGTCAGTGCCATAACATTTAAACTGTGTTTTTGCGCTCTTCCAGGCCCCACTAATCATTTTGTCAAGTAGTGTACATGTCTGAAATCCATTCTTCACTGCATTTTCGCCATGCATTCCTGCATGTTAGTTATTTCCAATGTAACAATCACCACTTTAACTTACATCGGCTTCTCAAGATCATGCTACACACTCTTGACTTTTAGGTGATCTTGTCAAAAGATCAAAAGTCACTAGAGGATGCCTGTATATCCTACATGCCTGGTCTAGTGTTCCAGAAGGTGGTCAAGTCAGCCAATTCAGTTCTTTTTAAAAAAAAACTTACGGGACTCACATATCTCCAAGAGAAAACTGTTAATTATGTAATTCCTTTGATTTCATTGGATATATTCCATTTAACTGCACCCAAAGTGAGTCATTCCCATTTACATTTGATGCTGTGTTACTTTGTTCCTGTTACTATGCTTTTATTCTAAATTAGAACCCATTAATTTCCATTATAATTGATTCCGGAACTCTGGAAAAACCTTACAGTCTGGACTATAAAGCAAAAAGAAGTATGTTTTCACAATAGTCTTAAAAGAGACAGACAAGCATGATTACTATGTGATTTCCAGCATTACTAAATTTTGCTTGTTGGTCTTTCTTACCAAAAAGCACGTACAATTTTCTCAAATGCAATTTGCTAGATTATACTTTACTTTCCTTCTTTCAAAATAATTCCAAATTCAACATTGACAACAACTGACTCAAGTTTCTTTTGTGTACAGCCTCTGCAGAGTTGTTGGCTAACAGATTTCAATTAATTTCTTCCAAAACAATCTATCCCAACTTTTCCTGATACAAATTAAAGCCATTTAGACTATTTCCATTGGCTCTTGTTTTAAATTAAAATTTAATGATTTAAATTTATTGTCCCTTTAAGATTCAGTTTGTGTTTGAACTAGCTACTTGTATCAAGTAATTTTATCAATCCCAATTTCAGAAACAATTACATCCAGGCTTGGTGGTATTAAATAGTGCTCTTATATTAGGGGTTCCAGTGATTGTAGTTAGTGTGGGGTTCTCCTGATTTCAAAGACTTTGCCTCCACGAGGCTTCCAGCTCCCTTGCTATGTTCTTGAAACCTGCTCAGAAACAAAAAATGAAATCCATTGGCACTGGAAGAAGCCCAGTGGGTTATTAATATTCAGAGTCACAAATCTCACCACACACATGGTGTTTGAGATGATTTAAAACTGCCAGCAGGAAGAGTTAACTGCTGGTCTCAGATGGGATAGAGCCCAAGTCACCAGGTGATGTTATGTAATACTTTCACATATTCAGGTAGAAAAACTGTCAGAAAATCTTTTAATAATGTCAAAGTGGCTTTCAAAGAATGTAGATGGACAAAACATTTCTGATTCCAAATTCAGAGTTCAAATTGGATGTCTTTTAAAAATATTTATCTGTCTTTTTGAGAACAAACTAAACCATTTTTTCCACAACATCTTTTCTACAGGAGCTTTAAAAAACTTTTTAAACTTTTCAATGAAATAAGATTTGAAAGTCTTGAATCCATGATTTCTAACTACTCCTTGCTTTAGTACTGATTTCAGTCAATTGTAAATGTAATTCACTCTCTGTGAATGCAATCCAATTTTCACAGAGGGCTTCTTTAACTTCACTGGGGGAGAGGAACTTGTAGATCTCATCTCTAACTGTGCCTAAGGATCCTACTCCTTGGTCCACCCCTTCCAGCTCATGGGTGACATCATACACTGGCTTTGTCTCACTACACAGATGAAACAGCGGGGGCAATGATATTCTCAAAGCTTGCAAGATAACGACCCCAGTTGCTGTTTGTTCATAGATTTCTGTCAGGCATGTTTTGATTTTTACTATTGTATGAAGTCTATTTCACCACCAGTTTCAACATCAATGTCCAGATTTTCCAGTCGCAAAGATGTACCAAGATGCAACATCCGACATTTATCTAAATTAAACTCCATCTGCCACTCCTCGGCCCATTGGCCCGTCTGATCAAGGTTCCATTGTACTCTGAGATAACCTTCATTATCCAATACAGCACCAATTTTGGTGTCATCGGCAAACTTAGTAACCTTGCCTCCTATATTCACATCCAAATCATTTATATTGGTAATCATTTTTACCTTGCACCTTTTACCAATTCCCACAGCTATTTATTTTCTTTATCCAACTGTAACCACACAAATGGACAGTATGGACAGTTTAATTCAGCTGTTCCTTTCATAAGCTCTTTCAAAAGTTGATCAAGGACACGTTTATAATTGCCTGCCCATTTTTCTACGATTTCCAATTAAGCTACCAATGCCAATGATCCTAATTTTTCCATTAAACTATCAACAAGTCGCATTTTTGAATATGCCAGTGACATGATAACCTCAATTAAAGACTGCTGCTTCTAACAGTTTCCCAAACATAAAGCCAATTAAACAGTTACTATTGTGATATGTTAGTTAGGTAGATAAAGAAAATATACAACTGTGACCAATGGGAATGGTTCACTGATACAGGAGGATAAACAGGCTGTTGGCATGGAATGTTTCGGTCTTGTTAAAGTGGCAAGGCAGCATCCTGCTCTCCAGCCACGGTATTAGGGAATTTGTCCCTTGGTCTTCCTCCTCTCTTTTTTCCTTCTTGAACATTTTACTTAGACACTGCTTCTGACTCATTAACCAGTTTTATGGTGGTGTTTTGGGAAACTGCACTCTCCCCATCCACTGTGGGGCTCTTTACCATCCCCGGGGTGAACTAGGGTCACTGTCCTGCTGTGGCCTTTTTCCTGTACCCAGTGGTTTTACTCGATTTTACTGTCCCTGTTCAACTGTGGGCCTCTTTACTGTCTCTGAGATGAAGTAGGGCCCAATCATTGTCTGCCTCACACGGCAGAACTTTCTTAGTCATCTTAGTACCACAACTTACAGCCAGGACCGACTGTAGGGTTTGTAAAGAATGGTAATATTAAATGTACTCACCCGATTAGGACCCACATAGTTGATCGTGAACTGGTGTGGTACCCTGCTCGCAACGCCAATTGTTGGAGAGAGATTGAAAAGAGGAGTCTGCGTCCCGTGTTCAGCTGCACATATTGAATTTTATTCGGAGCTCCTTACCAACGCAGTCTAGGAGAAGTCACTGACGACAGACTGCAAATCACTCAACCCCCTCCCAATAAAGTACAGGATATTTATACATTCCGCGTTACACTGATTACGTGCAACATTGACATCAGCGCTTATCACCTTCACTCCCCAGACGTTTGCCAGCAGCATCATTCTGAGTGAGTGCTGTTTGTTACCTTGTGAAGCTGCATTTGTTTATTTTCCCGACATCATAATGACTACATAATATTTTGCAATTGCCACTTACAATGCTATCTGTTTTCTGGTTTTTGGTAATCTATTCACACCCTTCATAGTACCTCATTCAGTTCTAGGTGTTTCTACCCATTTGTCCTTCAATCCCCCATGTT